GTATTCGTTTTTCTTCTGCTGATAATTGCCAGCATTTGATTTTACAGTATAGATTGCATTGTTCCCAATTCATGGGTATTGAAGGGGTTGGGTATTTTAGTTTAAGAGAATGAATACATTTTGTATAAGCAGAAAAGCTTTCTTTACTAGTTACAAAGGTTAAAGCTTGTGGGTCTAAAGAGTGTTTGCTATCTTTCAGAATAATACATGGTATATTCTTGATTTTGCATATAATGCAAGTATGTACATGATGTGAGTATAGTTTGAAAGGAACAGGAGTTGTAAAGGTTTTTCTGATATCACTGCAGAAGATAGGAAATGGATGAGTAATTTCATGTTTTGGCTGGAATTTGGATCTTGAAAGGCTTTTGAAAGACTTGAATAATTTTATATCGAAATTGATTTCCATAGAGTTAGATGAGTCTGAAGTATTTTCAGAAGTAGATTGTAGGTGTACTAGGATAGTAATATGTTGAGAGCCAAAGTATGTGTGATATTTTTGCAGAGACAGGTAGTGATTACAGGTTCAGTAGGTTTAACAAGAAAATGGAAGTTATTTTGAGAGTCACATGATGTAGGATTGAAATTAGTAGGTAAAACTTTAAGGGTTTGTATATTACTATCATGGGTAACAGTGCCGAAACTGTTACTGTGTTTGGCAATGTAATTATCGAAGTCAAAAGAGTTGGGTTCAACAGTAATAATACTTGGCATTGTGTGTAACTATCTTTATTGGTAATGAATATAAAATTTTGATAGTACGAATTATTTATGTAATATTGATTTTAAGAAAAAGTTTCTAATTTTAAGAGCTATTAGTTTATTTAGGAGTAATTTGTTGATTGTAGTATATTTGTAGAAGCTAATTGGATGTTTAGAAAAATTTAATGGGTACCAGAAAAGTGAAATTTCCACGACACCCCTGCAGTTTTTCCTAAAATGCCAATGAAAAAACCTGCAAAGACAGGTTTTGTTTTCACCTTTTTGCTTGTATCTTGGTGTGTTTTGGTTTGTTTAAAATAAAGTATATATCAATATGACTGGCTTGAGGTGCTTGATATTTTTCTACTAAGGGTTAAGATATATTAGCTTAGTAAAATATGTAGCAAATAAGCAAAAACCAAAATTTTGGTTTTTGGAACTTTTCTCGGTAGCCAAGTGTTGTTGGAACTTGAAACTTGGTTGCCTAGATGGAGAAACGTGAGCTCAACAACTTTACATAAGAGTACAAGTAAGGTTTATTTAGTAAAATTTTGAGAAATAATTAAATGTTTTTTAGCAAAATTTGGTACAAGTGATCTATGAAGAGAGTTACAGAATTGGTCCCTAAACTATTTTTAGTAAAATGGTTTTTTGAGTTATATTATTGAATTGAATTATTTATAAAAATTTATTATTTTGAATATTTGTTTAAAATCAAAATATATTTATTTATTTATAAAAATTTATTATTTTGAATATTTGTTTAAAATCAAAATATATTTATTTATTTATAAAAATTTATTTATAACATTATTCATATTTAATAATTTTAAAATAATAATATAAATAAAAAATGAAATGAAAAAAAAAACTTTTAGAAATTTTACATATTAGATCTAAAAGAAAAAAAAAATATTCAATAAAAATTTTTAGTATAGTTCAGGAGTTGATATATTTTCAAAGTTATTAATCTGAGTTTGTAAAGTTCTAATAGTTAGTTCTAAATGATCTATAGTTTGTTGAATAAGATCTGTTTTATGTTTATAATTTCTTTCTCTTTCTTCTCTTTCACGTTTATGAGTTTTTTCTTAATTTTTCAATCTTTCACTATATTCATATTCATGTTTTTTTTTTATATCTTCAATTCGTTCAACTTCTTTTTTATAGTTTTCAATTGTAGACATTAAAGTTGTAATTGCATTTGTTTTTGTATTAATTAATACTTAGTAAAGACTAATTTCATTAGCATAATTTTCTTTTATTTCTTGTTTTTGTTTTTCAAAAGTTGTTTGGTAAAGACTGATTTCATTAATATGATATTCTTTTTGTTCATTAAATGCTGCTGTTAGTTCATTAACTTTTACTATAAGTTGATTTTTTATTATATTATTACCAGACATTTTTTCTGACAACAAGTTTCATATAAAATTGTAAAATTTTGACATTTTTATAATAAATTTTTATATAATGATATAATAGATTAATAAGAACTTGAAGTTTATTTATAGTTAAACAACTTAATAAATAAATATATGATATAATGCACAGTTTATTAATCATTTAAAGTTTTTTTTATTTATGATATATTAGAATCAAATAATTTAATTCGAATACTTCATAAATAAAAAAAACTAACAAAATAAAATATTTTACATTCTATGTGAATCTAAAAAATTAATAATTCTATCTAAGTTTTCATTAAATAAAATTTTCTTCATTTCAACCCCAACTTGTTTTTTAATTAATTCAAGATTCATATTATGAACTTTGTAAACATATAACCAAGAAACGAATAGAAAAATTAAAAAAATAAAAAGAATAAATTGATAAATTAAAAGATGTTTTTGTAACATCTTTATTGAATTTTCTAGAGAATAAATTTTATTCTCATATTGAGTAAATTTATTTGTTACTCATTCAGAAAGATAATTTACATCTAAAATAAAATAAAATATTTAATAATATTAAGTTTTTTAATAAATAATTTATAAATTATACCTTCAGAAGAAGCAATGATTTCTTAAGTAATCATTTCAATTTGTTTGACTACTAAACACCTGCTATTGGAAAGAAGGTAGTCATTTTGTTATAATTGTTGTTGAAATTTTTATAAAAAATTTATTTTTGTAAAAAAAATTATAATGATTTTTTAAAAAAAATTAACATTTAAATACCTAATGCTTGTGATTTATCGTAAGAAGGAGGCAAGTCTTCATAAATCTTTTATTGGTTATTTTTGCTAGATAATGTAGACATGTTTCAATAGATGCAAAATTGTAAGTGTAATATAAACAATTGAATTAGTTTGATAATAAGCATAAATTTGTAACTATTTAATTTTATTTATATTTTTAAATAACAATTAAAAAATTATTCGAATTTGAAAATCATTTCTAATATAATAAAAATGATTGAATTAAAAAAGTATCGATAAAAATTAATTTAGTAAATGATAATCATATGATTTTTTTTTCTATATTTAGTATGATAATCATTTATATAAATGTTGATCTGCAGAAAATTTTCTCTTCACTTGTTCTATTCTTCAATGACTACACATTTTGAAACTAGGGCCTCTAAATTTTCAGTAGTTTAAACAAAGCTTAAAGCTTCTCTACTAAATTTATGCATAAAATTTTTTCAATATAGTAGAGAAGAGTTGAACTTGTCAATTTTTTTATAATTCTTTCTAAAATCCAATGAGAATGTAGTTGGTATCCTAGTGTGATTCTTGCTATAAACTATGATAATTATTGTCAGTAGCATGATTTGAGCTGGCTGTTCAGGTGTCGTTGCCCTCTCTAACTATTGTGAGTTATCATGTTTTTGTATGTTTTTCAACAAAAACAAAGATACAGTGCATTAGCTCTAGCTTGGGGATGCTTGATTTTTTGAGATACTTGGTTTTTAGAAATGACTTAATGAATAGTTTTCTTATTGTTTTTCAATGATGAACCTAATTAAGTTTGCTTTTTTTCTTATTGAATTTTGAGTGAAGAATTATTGAAGGGATAAAACTTTTATAGCTTGGGGGATGTTTTATCTCTCCCCTTAAAGGGATGAAACTTGAAATTCATTTTTTTTTTTACATGTAAGAGAGAAGTACCGTAAAGTGGTTTACATGCTTAGTAATGTGTTTTTAAAATACATGAAACTAAAACTTCTCAGTTTTTATTTAAATTTTAATTGTAATTTTTTTAATAATAATAAAACAAATAAAAATATATAATTTAATAAAATTTTTTTTGGAATTTGACTCAGAGAAATTGAAATTGTATAAATTTAACAAAAGTTCTTTAATTAGAAGTTTAAAAAATGTATTCACTAAAAGAAGAGACTGAAAAATCACCTTGGAAGAAAATATTCGATTCATTTGAAGTATTATCAGCTTGGACTAAACTACCAGTTATCAAACCTTGTAGAAAATCAAATTCATATTGTTTAATTGAAATTAATGTGACACTCTTTAATGAAGTATCAACTCAAACTCCAAATGTCACATTCTTAACTGATCTTAAAAATTTTGATTTAATCAAAAATTATACTTGGTCTTGTTTTAAGCGTAAAATTGATAATACATCTTATATTCAGACACATATTAATAAAAAAAATTTAATGTTTCATCGTTTAGTTTATTCAAAATACAAGATGATTGACTATATAAAAAACAGAATTGGAACAGATAATCGTAAATGTAATCTTCGAGAAACAACACTACAACAAAATGCATTAAATCATAAATTACAAAAAAATAATATATCACAATTTAATGGAATATCATTTTTTAAAAATAAAAAGGTTTGGTGTTTTCAATGGAATGAAAATAATAAACATAAAACAAATAGATTTTATATTTCTAAAAATAGAACTAGTGAACAGGCAAAACAACAAGCTATAGTTTTTAAATTAGTTCACGATAAATTAACCAATAATAGAAATAGATATAAAGTATAATTATTTATTTTAAACAATTAATAAATGCATTCCAAATATTATTCTTATGTTTTTGAAACCACATATATTGTAATAAATATTTTTAAATAAATTTTTTATTCCTTGATTGTCTTGGTAAATTAAGTTTAAGAGCATTCCAGACCAACTCAATTGTATTACTATGAATTTTTTGTTTTAATAATTTAATATTTTTTTACTATGATTTACTTGTTTATGTTTAATTCCATATTTTTCAATATCACAATAACTTTTCCAGCTGTCAGTATATACATTTGATCCTTTTTTAATACGTTTTTTAATAATTCTATATATTGTTTCAGTATTTCTATTTTCTACAATTTCAAAATAGCATTTTTGAATAGAATTAATTTTTGCTTTATTTTTTATATTTTTTGTATGTTGAATTATTCCAACAATCCAGAAATGTTCAAATTTATTTTCATCAATTTCAATTATTTCATGATCACCTCCAAGTAAAAAGACATCTTCTGTTAAAGAATTGATAATTTGTTGTCAAAATATTTTAACAAATTTGATTATAGTTTTTGGTGAAATTCCAGTAATATCAAATAATGTCTTAGTTTTAATTCAATTGATAAAAAAATATCCAATTAAAAGAATATGTGATAAAAATTAAATTTGAATTAAAAAAAATAGTATTTTTAAAAATTGAAACATTTTTATAACAAGTTTTATTTTTACAAAATAAAATTGTATTGTGAAGATAAATTTCTGATTGATATATTGAACATTTTTCAGGAATTTTAATAATGTTTGTTTCAATTAAATATTCAATAGGTTTTGATTTATCACAAAAAATATTGTTTAATTTAATAATTAATTGCATTATTTTTTAAATTTAAGAAACAAGAATATTATTTCCTTTTATAGATTTTTTAAAGTTATATTTGTAATATTTTATAATATTAATTTAGTTATAGTAATATATACAAGGTCACTAAGATATCATAAAATGTTACCTATTAAAGACTTGAATTCAGAAATATATCATCAAAAGTATCATATATTACTTTTAATCAATAGTGCACCAACATATATCTTTGATGAATTTGTAATATTAACTAATATAAAAATAGAAATATGGCAGGACCAATTCTGTAACTCTCTTCATAGATCACTTGTACAAATTTTTGCTAAAAACATTTAATTATTTCTTAATATTTTATTAAGTAAACCTTACTTGTACTTTTAAGTAAAGTTACTCAGCTTACTTTTCTCCCTTTAGGCAGTCAAGTTTTATGCTCCTGCAACACTTGGCAACTGAGAAAAGTTTCAAAAACCAAAAATCTGGGTTTTGCTTATTTACTATATATTTTACTAATTAAATATACCTTATTACCTATTAGAAAAGAACAAGCTCTCTGTTCTGGTTATTTTGATATATAATTTATTATAAACAAACCAAAACTCGCCAAGATATAAACAAAAAGGTGAAAATTAAAACCTGTCTTTGCAAGTTTTTTCATTGGCATTTTAGGAAAAACTGCTTGGTTGCCCCAGATTTTTCACTTTTTTGGCACTCATTAAAATTTCCTAAACATCCAATTAGCCTTTACAAATATACTACACTTCACAGATCGCTTCTAAATAGTCTTAAAGTCTAGATAATTAAAAAATTTTCTTATAAACAACATTACACAAAATAATTCATACTATTTAAATTTTATAAACATTATTCTTAAAGATAATTACACATAATGCCAAGCATTAATACTGTGGAATCTGACTTCTTCGATCTCAATAATTACATTGCCAAACATAGTAACAGCTCTAGTACTGTTACTTATAATAGCAACATTTGTACCCTTAAAGTTCTACCTATTGTGAGATTCGAAAACGTGATCGATATCACATGTTGTAAATCTCGAATGTCAGAAATGTCAGATATATTTGATATATCTGATATATCTGATATTACCTATATCACATAAGTGTGATATATTAGATATATGCAATATATATGATAAAATAGATATATTCGATATACTAGACAAGTCCATAATGTAAATAGACAATACAGTTTATTATAAATAAAGGGCAATTCGCCCAGGCAAAAGGGGAGCAATTCCGAATTGCAAAACAAAAACTACCTACCTGACCCAAAATTAAAGTGAAAGTGTTGTCCCAAAAAAGCCCAGCAACTATCGTTAAATCCCAGTACTAACACTACCTCCCTCCCAAGAACAACCAAACATGTAATTAAGCACTCACCATAGCCATATGCCCAGCGAACCAAAATGAAAGAGAAGAGTTCCAACCCTGATTCAACGTAGTGAAATCCCAGTTGAGACAATAGAAAAAGATAAAGAAATTAGAAGAGTAGGTTGAAGGAAAGACTCAACAGAGAAGAGACCAGTACTTACCTACAGACGAAAATCCACTCGCCAAATCTAACATGCCTGTTTTGACTTAGCCGCTGTAGGTTACATGAGAGTTGGCTTAGTTTAGCGACAGACTCGCTGACTTCTGAGACGACACTATCAATTTTAATTCTAAAACATGTGACCTTCAAAACAATTTTCATTTCTTTGTAAAACCTACTAGACCTGTCATTACTACCTGTTATTGTAAAAAATATCATACCTACTTCACTTCACAACATATTACTATTCTAGCAAATTCCCAACCAACTCCTAAAAACATTTCTGATACATCTAACTCTATAGAAATTGACTTTGATATAAAACTCTTCAAATCTCTAAAAAGTCTCTCAAGATTTAAATTCCAACCAAAACATGAAATTACTCACTCATTTCCTACCTTCTGTAGTGATATTAGAAAAACTTCTACAAATTCTGTTCCTTTCAAACCATTCTCTCATCATGCACATACATGCATTATATATAAAATTAAGAATATATCATGTATTATTCTTAAAGATAATAAACACTCACTTAATCCACAAGCTCTGACTTTTGTAACTGGTGAAGGAAGCTTTCCTGCTTATGCACAATGCATTCATCTTTTCAAACTTAAATATTTAACTCCCTAAACACCCATGAACTGAGAACAACACAATTTATATTGAAAAATCAAATGCTGCCAATTATCAGCTAAAGATAAACGTATATTCTTTAAGAAATTTCTTCAAAAATTGCTCAAAAAAACCAGAACTACAAATGAATCTAAGAATAATAATCAAACTAAAAACAACAAAATACAAAAAAATTAAAATAATAATAATCTAAAACAAAAAGACAAACAAAAAGAAAAAAAGAAAAGAATCTACACAAAAATGTGATATAACAAATGACTTTGACTAGTTCTTGAATTATTCTATTACATCTGAAATGCAAAAACATAGTAAATTAAGCACACCATTAGCCTTAAAAGTTTTTTTACTTCTAAAATCATATTTTGTAAATTTTAATCTTAGACAAGAAATCTCTACCTATTTAACTGATTCAAAACTTAATAATAGACCCCCTGCTAAATACTCATTTAACTACAAACTTAACAAAATAGCTAATAGCAAATCTAAGTTTTTAACTAACTTCATTCTTGAAGCCAATCCTGAGTTTGACCAATCTAATTCTATTCTTTTTAAAGTCTTAGTTGAAACTCTTAAAGGCCTAGTTGCAAAATTTACAACAGTACTTTTTACTCAACTGAACTATATACACATTTTTCAATCATATTATTTTATCTCACTATACTCAACAAACAACAGAAAAAAAGTTGTCATTAATATGACATGCTTATACTTATACCTAAATCATACTTACAAAACTATCACTTTGAAAAATTCATGAAAAAACTTGACATCAAACCTTTACACTTTACTTTAAATTTTGACATAGATTATATTGCAGATAAGCTATTATTTGATATTCAAAATGGCAACAGATTTAACATTAAAGTTACATTAAACATTCCTGCTAAAAAATTTGAAGATAACTTTAAAATTTCTTCACTTAAACCTCATACCCAAACCTATAAAACCTGGTTCCAAAAATTTTTCGATAAATACAAAATTCAATTTGAAAAAATTGATCAACAAAAAACAAGCAACTACATCAAAATGTTAATATCTCAAAAGCTTGTTGAAAACTGCAAAGAACTTTTACCAGAAACTTATTTCCTTCCAAATATCTTATCTTCACTCCAAGAATGCTCTAAAGCTACTTTCAAAGCAGCACTTCATTACTTTCATAAATGTTATAACAAATTATGCAACTTACTCCCAGATAATATAGAACACAAACTCGAAAATATTTCTCAATTTTACTTTTCTCAATCATTCAAATCTTATCTTGTACTAGAATCTAATTCAAAAGAATAGGACACCCTCTTTTAGAAACTAAATTATTTCAACTTGACTAACAACTAGTAGCAACTTTTGCAAAGTCAACACCCATAACTGAATTAAGAAAATTAGCTACATCTACTGAAGAAAGCTTCACATCACTTAACAATATTAATAGTAAAGTAGCTCAAACAACTTACTATTTTTATCAATACTTAAAAAAATATTTACAAACTGCAGCTAAAAATAATAGAATTCAAGAGTTATCTAAAGAGAAAGCTCTTGAAAAAATTATAGACTCCACTATTGATATGCATATCTAGCCTATATAATTACCTACTATGAAATCTGATCTCAATTTAAAGTCTCTCTTAAACAAACTAGAATTGACTATGACAAAACTTACTATCCAGAACCAGAAAATTTTATAATTAAACATCTCAACATCTCAATTTCTACTCAATACAATGACATGCTCTCATGCAAAACCAAAATGAACCTAAAGCTGAAAAAGAATATTCAACTCCACCTACTAGTTAGGATAATAATCCTAATAACTTCACTTCTCAAAAAGAAACAGTCAACAATCTCACACAAAACCAAGAAACTCCTTTTCAATAAGTTCTTCTACAGAAAACATTAAAGCAACTGTCGCTTCTAAGATTATAATGTTCTCCACTATTAGTGGGCCATTCTTAAAAGAGAATGATGACAGTAAGTGGGCAGTAAAGCCTATTGTAGTAAAGGACCAGGATTATGATGACCAGACCCAACATACAGGGCAGGTTATGGTATCCTCTATAGCTGTACAAGCCAAGCTTAAAATGGTAAGCGAATCTGTAGAAGACATTACAAATACTATCTCTACTTTTAATACTTCAACCCCTACAGAGATAGACAAATGCTACAACAAATTCATAAAATACTACAACTTACCTTAAATACTAGAACTAGTCACACTTGACAACTTTATTCAACACTTATATAACAATCTCTATCCCAATTCAATAAAAATATCTATAAACCTTAATAAAACAGAAACACATATTTACTTAAATGACACAGATCAAATATTACCAAACCATATTACAATGGATCCTTCTCTTTACAAAACATATGGCCATCTACCTTTACTATCTAGTCTCAACTAGAAAATACCTGATACAAATTCTGCCTTCTTCTCTACATCTGATCAATTACCTAATCCAAACATTTTTACACCATCTTTAACCACTCCATTATTAACTTCATCTGAACATACTTCTCTTCCAATTAAAATTGGTTCAATAAATATTAACAGTCTTTCACAAGCAAATAAAACACTTGCTTTAACTGAACTTTTACAAGAAGAAAAGTTTGAAATTTTTGGACTTTCTGAAACACATCTATTATTCAAAGAAGGCAAATTCTTAAACAACCAAATTCAAAACTATGTTAGTTTCTGAAGCTCATATACAAATTCTCATCAAGCTAAAGTTGGAATTTTTGTTCATCAAAAAATCTTCAAATATATTGCCAAGTCTCATAATTTCAATAGACATATAATTGGTCTTGATTTACATTTCAAAAACATGTCAATC